TCTTTCGAAATATTTTGTGCTTATGTGATATATATCACAGACTTTGCCTCGAGTATGATTGAAATATTTAAGCAAAATTTTAGATAATTTGCTCACTCCATTTTTCCAGAATACTTTATAATTTAGTTATAATTGTTAAAAAGAGCCAAAATTGTCATGTTTTAGCCAAATTGGGCTAAGCACAAAAATACAATTTTCAATTTATTTCTAAATGTATTTCTTAAAGACCTTTGCGTATCTTTCTGCTTAAGTGCTCCAGCTCATTTATGTAAATAATTTAAATTGAATGTTTTTTAGGCTTTTAGACCTTGGTGGAGTCCTTAAAACACCCAGTTCTGTTGAAACAGTCACAAAATAAATATAGAATTATTACATTATCTTTGTCTACAAAATATCTTAAATGGACTTGTCCATCTATCAAAATGGACAAAACCATTTATCATATTTAAGAAAAAGTATGCGCCGACTAGTTAGCAGTGTTCTAGGTCTGCAATGGTCACATCGTAGGAATCTATTGCCATAAGCAGACATTGAATTAAAGATTTTGAATTTACTGGCCCGAATTCCAGTTTTGAATTTACAGTAGTATGACAAAATTGTATGACAAATCTTCCAATTCATGGAGTTTTATATGCTTCACAACACTTTATATTTAAACTAGATTATCACTTTAAAACAGTAGAATGACAATGTAATGCCTACAGTGAAGAATCTTTAACTCCATATCAGAACTCAAAATATAAAACAAAGAAAATGAACAACAAAAGATTGTGTACTTACATATATAATATTTTAATCATAATTATTCAATTTTATAAAAAAAACACACACAATATACATGTACAATATCATCTTTAAACAGATCCTCATAAAACTCATTTAAAATTAAACAAACAAAAAATCTCAAAAAAACTTATCTCATTACAAAAAATCTGTCACAAAAAACATACATATTGGAACAAGAGGGCCATGATGGCCCTGGATTGCTCCCCTGACCCATCAACCGCATCCAAGCAATGTCTTAGACAAGCATCCTGGCCAAGTTTGATGACATCTGAGTCAAACATGTGACCTCTAGTGTGTTAAAAAGGTTTTTCCATATTTGGGCAATGTGACCTAATTTTTGACCGGAGACGACCCATATTCGAACTTGACCTAGAAATCATCAAAACAACCTTCCTGACCAATTTTCAGGTAATTTGGATCAAAACTGCAGCCACTAGAGTGTTAAAAAGATTTTTATATTTTTAGCTCCTGTGACCTAGTTTTTTACCGGACATGACCCATCTTTGAACTTGACCTAGAAATCATCAAAACAACCTTCCTGACTAATTTCCAGAATATTTGGATGAAAACTGCAGCAACTAGAGTGTTAACAAGCTTTTTCTATGTTTTAGCTCCTGTGACCTAGTTTTTGACCGGAGATGACCCATCTTCGAACTTTACCTAGAAATCATCAAAACAACCTTCCTGACTAATTTCCAGAATATTTGGATGAAAACTGCAGCCACTAGAGTATTAACAAGCTTTTTCTATTTTAGCTCCTGTGACCTAGTTTTTGACCGGACATGACCCATCTTTGAATTGACCTAGAAATCATCAAAACAACCTTCCTGACAAATTTCCAGAATATTTGGATGAAAACTGCAGCCACTAGAGTGTTAACAAGCTTTTTCTATTTTTAGCTCCTGTGACCTAGTTTTTGATTGGAGATTACCCATCTTCGAAATTGACCTAGAAATCATCAAAACAACCTTCCTGACAAATATCCAGAATGTTTGGATCAAAACTGCAGTTACTAGAGTGTTAACAAGCTTTTTCTATTTTTAGCTCCTGTGACCTAATTTTTCATCGGAGGTCACCCATGATCAAACTCATCCGAGATATTATTGAGACAGATATTCTGACAAAGTTTCATGATGATTGAGGAATAAATTCAAGTGCTAGAGTGTTAACGAACTAAATGTGGACGGACGACCCTTTAAAAGCTCACCCAGAGCATGCTCAGGTGAGCTAAAAATCATTGATCCTGATTCCCATTATTACAGCTTTAATTCCCGATATTCGTCACTCGGTGAAATAATAAAAATTGATGTAAAAAAAATCAAAGACTAAATGTTAACATGGTTACAGCATAATACAGTATAATGGACAATGTAAAAGAACCAGCGTTGCCTCTGGAAAACTGCCACTGCTGTAACAATACTGTATAATCAGTCTTAAACTGCATATAACATGAAAAAAAATAACATAGATCTTGAATGTTTTTATCTTTCTTTAAATTTATTACATTTTACTCAATATAATACTTAATTTTCTTGAAATATTTTTGCTCATCTGGAGGCGTGCAGCTTTAAGTAATCAAAATTGTAAAGTAATAAAATAATCTTTAAATAAAAGAAGAGACCCATTCCTTACACTTGTCCAGAACATTTTTATTTTCAATTAACAATATAACAGTTAGTGACCCCCTGACAGAGAGATTTATGAAAAAATAAAAACAATAAAGATCAACGAGGCAAAGGCATTGTAATATTCACAAGACGCAGGCCCTGACACATCGGAATACCACAGCAGGGCACCTGTTAGGCACTAAAACAAAACATTTAGTGTATAATTATTTTATTTAACTTTTGTTGAGACATGTCAAGTAACTATGCTCTTGTCACAAGAAAACAGAGATACTAATATCCACCAAGGAAAGAAGAGGATGCCATTGTGATGGTAATTTACCCTCCAGATCACGGTAGTATTAACCACAGAGCAATAGAAGAAGAGGTAACAAGTACATCATTAAACTGACTGAAACAACAACAATGTTGGTTTCCTGTAACTCAACTTTTTTATGGTTTTTCATCATATATATACATGTATGTTCAATGAAGATTTATCAATATTGTAAGTTCAAAAAAGCATTATTTGTAAAGATATTACCGAATTTACATTTCAGGGAGGTACAATGTACATGTAATTAGAAATTTATTTTATTTATTTAAGTCTATATATGCCAAACTTTTCAATATAAAATGAATGCATAGATTTTCAAAATTATTTATAATGCGAATAAACAATCGCAATACATATTAAACATATGAATAATTATATACATATACAATGTATAATATTTCAATTAAGTTTTGTTATATCCTTAATTACATCATACAGGATTCTTAAATGATAAAAATTTAAAAAAAAAATACAGATAATATTCCAGAAATTAAAAAGGACAAAATATTACTAAAGTATTTAATTACTTTCTTCGTTTAATTACCTCCCATTACATCAATTCCCACACCAACATTCACTATATGTTCATGATTTGTACAAATAAATAATAGAAAGAGCATCGAAACACAAGCTAGGCTATCTGATTTGTATGAGGGGGCGTAGCCCCCCGAGTATGAATCAGTTTACTGAGTGTTTTGATGTTCCTTCTCTTTTGTATCATTATAAGTCAAACATAAAAACACGTTCCCTGTTGTCACAATATGAAACCCCGGAGAACCCCAGGGAAAAGTAACCAATGAACGAGCATCTAAATATGACATTTCTGTCGTTTTCCTTTCTTTGCCGTCCCCGGCAAGAATAAACCAATCAATGGGCATGCTCTGGAGTGCGGGTAACAATTACCTGCACTCCATTTAACGCACTGTGCATGTATATGTATAGGATTTAACTCTGACACATTTTCAACAGAAAGGTCCCCAAACTATGATACAAAGTGACAATTATACTTTATTAAGCCATCAAAGTGTTATTACATGCTTTTTCAGAATAATTCTTATCATCTGGAAGTGTATGGTTTTAATGTAACTCAGCATTAGTTTTGATGATTTCTAATTAAATTTTAGATACAAGACTAGTTAATGTCCTTTTTATCTTCACTTTTTATTTTTTTTTTTTAAATAGAGGTTCATGTATAGTTTCCTATTGTTCTTGTTGTCACCTAAGAACTCAAATGTATGCACACACACAGGCACTGATGTCATGCATTGACGCATATGTTGTGATGAATATAAGTAGAATAATAATCAGCTGAACAAGAAAATATATTTGGTCAATTAATCTGTTATTGTCATTATTTGACTTCAGTGCCTAGTACTGCAAACTGCAAGGAGAGCATTATTTATGTCAACATTGACGTAAATGCCAACGCTCCTGTGAGATTTAATTACACTTTGTACTATCCTTTTTAATTTGCATGCTTAGCACTTTTACCAAACACGTAGTCGTGTTCAAAGTGACCATGGCAACATGATGGACATAAATCATTCATTATTAGTATGTCGAAAGTTTATCCCACTTTTATTAACAACTTCAGATAATGTCCATTCGGAAATAAACAATTTTGCAATTTGTTTTTGATGAAAAGTCCTTGACCTTTAAATGAGTAAAATACTACATTCTTAAAAGCTTATGAAAAACTTTCTTTCCAAACACTATGATAAAATGATAGTCTCTTAGCAGCGATCACGTGTTGCCACATGTGTTGCCAATTGCTACTGTGTAGCAAGAGACACAAAAATCATTAACAGGCCAAAACTGAAAGATTTATTGAACCTGAAAATGCTGATGATATGCGCAACTAGACTTAACAATGATCATTGCTGTTAATTTCGGATGAAATTGCACCAGTAGTTTTTGAGGAATAGTCCTGACAAGTATTATGACGGACAGACATGTAACCGAATTGGGATAAAGGGCCATTTCTATTATTATTTTCTTTTGTTTAATAGAAGGCCAATGGCCCCTTCTAACAAGACAGGTAACGTGAGGCTACTCTATTGTTCTCTCTATTGTTCTTTTTAGTTAAATAAAGAAAAATAGCCACATAAAAAAGGCCTTATGAAATGAATGACATAGAAGAGTGAGTACAGTAAACTATTGTTCCTGTAGCTAAAGAAGTACCAGTATTCAAACTGACAGACAAGTGATCCCGATATGTTGCCGCTTCTTTGGAGCAGACGACACAAAAAGATGCTATATATATGAACACATAATGATAATTTTGACTGTTTATTTGAAAAATAGATAATACATGTATATTGCTGAAAAATCATTAAAAGGAAAAAAAGTTATAATAACTTTATCAAATACATTTAAGTGTTAAAGTCATTTTGAGATTTTGGTACAACGAGATTTAGAAAATTCATTTCCTCCAGTTTTAACCTCTGTAAACATGAGAATGAGATTATGACAATAGTCTTTGGTAAATGGCACATGATAAACTTTTACCCTTATCCAGATTATTTTTATATAAACGGATTTGTCCAGCTTCCAGTTTTGGATATGTACATGATCAGTTTTAAAAGAAATCATGATGAATTTTTTTTAGCCAACAGAGCTTGGTCAGTCTGCAAGAATGGCAAAGGCTACCTAATTATTTTCTGTTCCAACAAGACTGGGTAACTGATAGGGAAAAAGGAAACACAATACTGGTACTGGTTATGATTGATTGTTGTCCATACCGACATTTATACATCCATCCAGTAACCCAGATTAAGGTAAGGGTTAACCGAGAAGAATGCTGAACAAAGACTAGAGAAAAAAAAAACAATACTGTCTTTGTGTTACAAAAATAATTCTGGAATGTATAAAATAAGTTGCTGTTGTATGTCTATATCACAGTGGTATCTAACCAAGGAACTTGGCCTTGCCGAAGAACACTCCAGTTGGATCTACACTGACATTAAGGCTGTCTTGAGGCTTGAACATTCCAACAAAAGCACCTGAGAAAACTTCAGTAACATTGTATCCTGCAGGAGCTATGGCACCTAGCTTCTTCAAAGGGTAGCTAATCTGTAATCATAAACAAAACTAAAAATTTGCTTTCACATCCAACTAAACAAAAGGTCTAAGTAAGACAGCATCCTCGACTCTTCTCAGTGCTTGATAGTTAATCAAGAGCTTGGATAATGTAGAACTTTTCTAAGTTCAAAAAGGGCCATAACTCTGTCAAAATTTATGTCAGAGTTATGGGCCTTGGATAGTGAATAATTTCAAACGTACACTTATGGTAGCTTATATATTGTCAATAATGATTAAAAATGAGGTTTGAGGAAGTAAAAACACGCCCTAGTCACTTATAAAAATTATTTTAAATTATGATTGTTATTACAATTTTGCTATTAGTGGCTATATTTTTAGCCCTTCTGACCAAGATGTTCAATGGAGCAGAAACATTTGAAAATTTTTAGTAGAGCTTAATGCTAGGATATCATCTTAGAAAATTTTCATTAAATTCGACAAAGTGGTTTCAGGGAAGAATTTATTTGAAAAAAAGTTGATGATGGACACACAGACGCACTGACGGACGTACTGACATTTGGATACTTAGGTGGTTATTCTTGTTCTCCCTATTGTTATTTTAGTGACATAAGAGAAAACATAGCCACATATATAAGAGCTTACAGAAGAAGTCCAGTTACCTATAGTTCTTGTTGCCACCTAAGAACTCAAATATATGCACACACGAAGGCACTGACGTCATGCATTGATGCATATGTTGTGATGAATATGAGTAGAACGATCAGTTGAACAAGAAAATATATTTGGTTAATTTATCTGTTATTGATATGATTTGAATTTCTGAGTATTGCAAACAGCAAGGAGAGTCGTATTATTGTCAACATTGACGTTAATTTCAACACTCCTGTGAGATTTAATTAATTTAACTCTTCCTTTTCATTTGCATGCTTAGTACTTTTAGCAAACACGGAGTGGTGTTTAAAGTGACCATGGCAACATGACGGACACAAGTTATTCATTATTAGTATGTGTATGTAAAAAAATTCCCCCTCTTTGTTAATAGCTTCATATAATGTCCATCTGGGAATAATCAATTTTGCAATTTTTTCTGATGAAAATTCATAAATTTTGACATTTAAATGAGAAAGTAGTATACTACATTCTTAAAGGTTATGAAAAACTTTATTTTCAAACACTATGATAAAATGATTCTCTCTCAGCAGTGATCACACGTGTGCCTGGTGATAGCCAATTGCATGTTGCAGCTACTGTGTAGCAGGAGACACAAAAATCATTAACAGGGCAAAATGCATTTTTTATTCAAGGGCCATAACTTGCATAGAACTTGAGCTACTGATCAGTCCTGTAAAGTATCATTGAAACTGGCTAAAACTGCATTTTTTATTTTAGTTTTTTTTTATTTAAGGGCTATTTAACTCAGCCAAAAATTATTCAACTGGAAACCTGTTCAATATGGAAAAGTACTTGTGGTTTCGATCGACCCTGTAAAGTTTCATTCAAATTGCATATGTGGTATAAGAGAAGTAGTCTAAACAAAACTTTAAAAAATGAAAATCATTAAAGGGCCATAACAGGACCAAAAATCATTGAACTGTGAATGCAGCTGATATGCAAAGCTGCACTTGGTACTGATGACTTGTGTAAATTTTGGATGAAATTGTAGTCCTTTGAGGAGTAGTCTGGACAAATGATGGACAGACAGATTGACGGACGGACCATAAAAAAGTTATGGCTTCTTTGTAACAAGAATCAGCTTCTATGTAGCTGGCAACACAAAAATGAGCCGTGTCATGGCAAAACCAACATAATGGGTTTGCGACCAGCATGGATCCAGACCAGCCTGCGCATCCGCGCAGCCCGATCAGGATCCATGCTGTTCGCTTACAAACCCTATAACAAGTAGAGAAACCGATAGCGAACAGCATGGATCCTGATCAGACTGCGCAGGCTGGTCTGGATCCATGCTGGCCGCAAACCCATTATTTTGGTTTTGTTGTGGCACGGCTCAAATCATTAACAGACCAAAACACTTTTTTTATTCAAAGGGCATAACTCCCCAAAAATAATTCAACAATTCGAGGCATTATGTGCAAACTACTTAAGCTACCAATCAATCCTGTAAAGTGTCATTGAAATTGCATAAGTGGTATAAGAGAAGTAGTCTGGAAAACTTTAAAAATAGAAATCATTAAAGGGCCATAACTCTGACAAAAATTATTGAACCTGAAAATGCTGATGATATACACAACTAGACTTGGTTATGATCATTGCTGTTAATTTCAGATGAAATTGCACAAACATTTTTTGAGGAGTAGTCCATACTAGTATTGTGACGGACAGACATGCAACCAAATAAATATAAAGGGCCATTTCTATATAATTGTTATTTTCGTTTGTTTAATAGTAGACCAATGGCCCCTTCTAAGAAGACAGTAATTACGAGGCTACTCTATTGTTCTCTTTATTGTTCCTTTTAGTTAAATAAAGGAAAAAAGTCACATAAACAAGAGCTGTCCGTAAGACAGCGCGCTCGACTTTTTTATTGCTTGCCAATAAAAAAAGTTTTTGCAGTAAAAGGCAATACAAGAATCTCTGTATTTTTAAAGTGAACTAGTTGTTTGATACCCTTGAATATTACAGCAATGTTTATATGACATAATTTATGGTAAAGTGAACAAGTGGATAGGAATGAATTTTTTAGATTTTTTAAGTTTTTTAGTGCTTGCCTATAATACAAAACATTGACAGTTAAGGGCCATAATTCAAATAAAATCTTTGACAGAATTACCTTCTCTGGACATGTTTGGGAATCATGATTGTAAACAAGTATTCCAACTTTCAAATTAATATCTCAAACAGTTCAGTCAAAAAGTGGACTGGTACTAAAAACTTAACCAAGATTCTAAGTCGATAAAAGGCCTTAATTTTAAAACAAATCCTTGACAGAGTTACCTTCTCTTGCGTACAGATGGGGGTAATGATGTGAAATAGCATTAAAAGTTTCAAAGCAATATCTCAAAGGGTTAAGGCAATAAGTGGATTTTACCCATATTCAATGTATTTTCTAAGTCAAAAAGGGGCATAATTCTGTCAAAAACCTTGACAGAGTTATGTCCTCTTGTCTGTTGATGAAGGTCGTGATGGTAAACAAGTATGGTCAGTTTCAAAGCAATACCTCCAATGGTTTTGAAATAAAGTGAGGTGGTACAAAAAACTTAACCAAGCTCAATACACTTTCTAAGTCAAAAAAGGGCCATAATTCTGTCAAAAACCTTGACAGAGTTATGTACTCTTGTCTGTAGATGGAGGTTATGATGGTGAACAAGTATGGTAAGTTTCAAAGCCATACTTGTAATACTTCTGAAATAAAGTGGGGTGGTACGAAAAACTTAACCAAGGTGTGACGCCAACGCCGACGCCGACGCCGGGGCGAGTAGGATAGCTCCCCTTTTCATAGAAAAGTCGAGCTAAAAAGCCTTATGGAATGAATGACGTAGAAGAGAGAGTAACAGTAACCCATTGTTCCTGCATCCACAAAAGTACCGGCAGTATTCAAATGTAAGCTTGGACAGACATGCGACTAATTAGAGATAAAGAGCCATTTCTATTGTTATTTTCTTTTGTTTAATAGACAGCCATTGGCCCTTTCTTCTATTGTTATGGAATGAACTCTATTGTTCTGTTTACAGTTAGATAGCCCCCTATCCCTATTTGGTAGTGCGAAAGACAGATAACGGACAAGTGATCCCGATATGTTGCCGCTTCTTTGCAGCAGACGACACAAAAAGATGCTGTATGAACACAGATTGATAAGTTTAACTGTTTATTTGAAAAATAGATATATACATGTATAATCCTGCAAAACCACTTAAAGAAGAAAAGTTATAATAAATTTATCAAATACATTAAGTACATTGTATTAAAGTCATTTTGAGATTTTGGTACAATGAGATTTAGAAAATTCATTTCCTCCAGTTAAAACCTCTGTAAACATGAGAATAAGATTATGACAATAGTCTTTGGTAAATGGCACATGATAAACTTTTACCCTTATCCAGATGATTTGTATATAAACAGATTTGTCCAGCTTCCAGTTTTGGATATGTACATGATCAGTTTTAAAAGAAATCATGATGAATTTTTTTTAGCCAACAGAGCTTGGTCAGTCTGCAAGAATGGTCAAGGCTACCTTATAATTTACTGTTCCATCAAGATTGGGTTACTGATACGGGGAAAGGAAATACAATACTGGTAATGATGAGTGTTGTCCAAACCGACATGTATACATCCATCGAGTAACCCAGATTAAGGTAAGGGTTAACCGAGAAGAATACTAAACAAAGACTAGAGAAAAAACAAAACTATCTTTGTGTTACAAAAATAATTCTGGAATGTATAAAATAAGTTGCTGTTGTATGTCTATATCACAGTGGTATCTAACCAAGGAACTTGGCCATGCCGAAGAACACTCCAGTTGGATCTACACTGACATTAAGGCTGTCTTGAGGCTTGAAACATTCCAACAAAAGCACCTGAGAAAACTTCAGTAACATTGTATCCTGCAGGAGCTATGGCACCTAGCTTCTTCAAGGGTAGCTAATCTGTAATCATAAACAAAACTAAAAATTTGCTTTCACATCCAACTAAACAAAAGGTCTAAGTAAGACAGCATCCTCGACTCTTCTCAGTGCTTGATAGTTAATCAAGAGCTTGGATAATGTAAACTTTTCTAAGTTCAAAAAGGGCCATAACTCTGTCAAAAGTTATGTCAGAGTTATGGGCCTTGATAGTGAATAATTTCAAACGTACACTTATGGTAGCTTATATATTGTCAATAATGATTAAAAATGAGGTTTGAGGAAGTAAAAACACGCCCTAGTCACTTATCAAAATTATTTTGAATTATGATTGTTATTACAATTTTGCTATTAGTGGCCATATTTTTAGCCCTTCTGACCAAGATGTTCAATGGAGCAGAAACATTTGAAAATTTTTAGTAGAGCTTAATGCTAGGATATCATCTTAGAAAA